GTGGGAACATATGCACATAATCAACTACAAATATGAAAATTCCGACGAAATTTTGGGGAATGATCGTTGGCTTTTGTACACTTTTAGTAGCTCACTTCTCTCGGCCTGGTTAGGCGATGCAGTTGACACTTGAGTCTCTATCGTCTGCGTACGGGGACGCACGTTTCGTAATTGCGTGCTAGGGGACACTCCCTCAGTCCGATCAGGTTTTACTCACGCGACACAAAGTTTGCTATCACTAAAGCGCTCGTGGGCGAAGGCTACGAGCTTCTTGAAACCTGTCTCTAAGAAACTTCCGTCAACTATCATATGCGCCTCAGTCGTCACCTAGGTAGTCGAGATATTTGGTAATTATGAACAGGTCTCGTATTCACTCTTGCATACAGTCTGGTTTCAAGATTTTCAGGATATTCTTTTCGATTCTACTGTTGGGATTGTAGCATATTGTTATAAGCACGTGAACTACATCCATCTAATCGGATATCGGTTTTTTTTGAAAAGTCGATTTTACTTCGTGAGATCGACTCAATGAGATGTAATTGATGAGCGCATTTAAAGCTCTATTCGATCTCATGCGTGAGAGCTCGAGGAGTTGTTTGGAACGGGAGTTTTATATACAGTAGTCGGAGCCATTGAGGTTGCAGTAGGGACTGTTGAAACTATCGCAGTAGTCGTTGAACCGAAGGCAGTACTTGTATTATCGGGAACTGAGGAAGATATAAAATACATATTAGTAATACTCACACGACCGGAGCTCACCTTGGCAAATATCAACCGAGCACGGTTGGTTCCCTACTTGACAAACAGGAGGAAACTGCCAGTACTTGCAATAGCTCGATGGGCCGCTGAGATCTTGAGAAACCAAGTGGATCCCGACTTCTCAAGACAGCGGCCTCACTCTGAGAGTAATAATCACATACTCGGCGACAACACGACAATGACAGTACCTGGCAAAAAAAGAAAAGAAAGAAGCAGCAACAGCAGCTGGGGCAGGATCGAGCTGCTCTAAACACTCGCTGAGGGATGAAGGGCAAGAGGAGTGAAGGAATCAAGAGACGAAGCCGATGGTCGCAGCCATAAAGCAGAAAAGCGTGATTGTTGTATCATGTATCGCTCGTAATTGAGGACCGTTTCAATAAGACAGCATCTAGCAATCAAAATGCACTCCACAAATATCTTGCCGTGCCGGGCGGGCTAATCAGTAAAATCCTCCGGCTGCGAATCCCTAAAACAATTATAGCAAGAAAATCAAATTGATTTAATCAATTATATCGATTGTACAGGATTCAGAGTCTTGTGTCTTCCACTTCTACACCCAATGACCCATCATACGATCCTCGTCTTGAGCCTTCAATATCTTTCCGTGCTGATCAATTCGTTCTCCACAAATTTACATCTGTTTTCACACTGTCTTCAAATTTCGTCAGAATGAGGCTCATCTCATTCGAACGTGAACTCCCGAATCCCCCGAGTTGGAGACTCCAAGCATCGACGTTTCCTCTATTGCTCCTAACCCACTGCGGAGAATGCTATCAATGGTCTATAGATGAAATCCTCAAAATGAAGACGCACTCGAACGCCGTAGAGCGACTTTCCCTGGAACTAAACACAACGACCCTGCCTTTTAAGGTACATGTGAATACGTGTCACTAAGCAAACCATGGGTGAGAAATACTCAGTGTTACTACGATGAATCGTGAATGAAGATGAGGTACCCACCTAAAGATATACGAATGAGGCGGTCTACACACCTCAAATTTAGACTCGCCAGATTAACGAAGTCTAGCAGCTTCGCAATCACACAACTGGTTCCCTCCTTGGCAGACAGGAGGAGACAACCAGTACTTGCAATACGAGGATGAATCATCATTGATCAAAATACAGTTGCGATCACAAACAGCATCCGGTCCTGTCATCGGAGACCAGATGGTAGGCACTTCGGCGGTTGATGACGTAACACTAGCACCCGTTGTCGCGGCAATCGTCGACGTCTGAGGGCCACTTGTCGAGGTTAGACTTAGACCAGCATCAGATGTGGTCGATACCCCAGCGGTGGCAGTGGTCATTTCCTCAACAACAGTGGTAGAATCGGCATCTCCTCCGAACAGGATGCCCTCGGTCGTTGTTGCCGGATTCGATGTCGACGTAGTTGATCCAGCGCAATCGGCTGCAGTGCAAGGTTGGTTACCAAGTTGGCATACGGGAGGACTGAGCCAAGACTTGCAGTAGCTCCCCACACCGTTGAGTGAGAAACAGTAAGAGTCGCACTCGCCAGCTTGAGTGGTAACATCTCCATCGCTCCCAAAGATGGGCCCCAAGAGTGTTGTAGTAGGAATCGTCGTCGTCAGAGCCACAGGCGTGGTCGTGGGAACGATCGGCGTGGTTGTAGCAGCCACAGACGTGGTAGTAGGAGCCACAGGCGTGGTAGTAGGAACGATCGGTGTTGTAGTAGGAGCCACAGGCGTTGTAGTAGGAACGATCGGCGTTGTAGTAGAGCCACAGGCGTTGTAGTAGAACGATCGGTGTAGTAGTAAGAGCCACAGGCG